ACGCGACGCACCTGACCGCCCTGGCCCGGTTTATTAAGTCGTTACCCTGGCGCCCCCGCACCGATGCATGCCCGCCGCAGCGAGAGAGGTTATGTTGCCCCACGCCCCGGCGTCGCCTTGAAATTCATCGATCGACCTTCGCCAACAATCCTGCAGATCGATTTATCTCGAGGAAAATCCTATCTGCCCTCTCAGATCTCCCCAAAATCCCATGTAATCACACGGTTAATGCTCAAAACTGCATATCAAACTCCAGAGATGGAATTTGTTTAACTAAGTATAATTAATAAAGCTCGGTGAAGTAAATGCTTGTTTTTATGCGTCTCGGTGTACGGTCGGACAAAGGGATCACGTGGTACCGGGGACCAAGCCGCCATCTTGGAACTCCATTTAGCGTCCCCCTGCAAAGTCTCGCGAAATCCGCGTAGAATAACGGATTAAGAGCGGAAAAAATGCGCGTTAATCGCGTAAAATCAGGGGAAAGAAAGTGAAAGTAAGCCGCGGAAAAGTCGGGTAACCTTTTGGAAAGTATCCTCGGCGACGGAAACGAGCGGCGTCGGGCCGGCGTCGTAAAGTGCCCGCAGGGTGGATACGAGCGGCTCGTTTTAACGAGCCTGGCTGTAATTCCCTTGCAGCGGGCGGTAAAGTCGCCGAGGTTCATTGAGTGTTCAGGGGGCCGTTCGGGCTGAACCGGTAGCTCGGGGGGGAAAAAGAAAAAAGAAGGGAAACATAACACTTCACCACGCGCGCGAACGTACGGAGAGCGATCGCGCGCGGAACGCGTGCGGCTCGGAGGCGGGATGGGAAAAAGGATAAGAAAAGAGATCCAAAGTGACGAAATCGATTCGGTTTCGAGATGGCGTATAAGGGAGCCTTTGAAGTCGCGTTATTACGGGAACCAAGATGGCGGCGGTTCTTCTCGTCTCCCCGGTAGCGATATCGATGCGGTCGTTTCCCCGGCGATCGCGAAATCCCACTCGGGGCGTCCAAGATTAATATCCTTGATACGATCGCCTTTGCAAAGCGATCAGCATCGACATCTTGCTGCATCTTGGTGCATCTTGCTGCACCTTGCAGCATCCGCGTCGTTGGTCCTTGTCAGCTGCTCCACCTGGGGAGCGGAAATCGGAAATATTTCCCCGCTCTTCTCGGTTTCTTCGACCAAAGGGGCAAAAGGAACGTTGGGGACGACTTCACGTGACGTCTCTCAAGTTCATCCGACGCATGTCGGGGTCCTTAGCCCGAGATATGTGCGTGTTGGTTGCGCAACACACTTCGCGGCTCGGTCCCATGAATGGACGCGAGCGTTACGTGCATCCACGTCGTGGCTGCAATCTCAATAAGAAAATATGTCCATTATGTAGTTACAATAACGATATCAATTCATTGGCCGCCGTGGCTCTGTGTGAGCCCATTGTCTTCAAACGGCCAGTTAGGCGTCTGTATCTTCGGGCCGACTTAAGCCGCCATTGACACGAGAGGCGTCTCATAAAACACCGACGTCTATGGATGTCCAACTGATGCGTTTCATAAAACGCGTGACACCGGTAGATGTCTAACAGAACGCATCGCTTTCATGGGTTTCATATAACGCGCGACGCCGGTTGATGTCTAACAGAACGCATCGCTTCCATGGTTTCATAAAACGCATCGCTCCCATGGGTTTCACAAAACGCATCGCTTCCATGGGTTTCATAAAACGCGCGACGCCGGTAGATGTCCAACAGCACGCATCGCTTCCAGCGCGGCGTCGAGCCTGGAATGGCTGAAATTAATCCACGTTGAATGTCGGAGATCGAAATTGTCGATCCATTGCAGGCCGAGTTTCGCCAGAAGTGACGTTAAAAATCGAGAACTGGTGTCATGGCGTCTCTTTCGGCGTCGCCCAACCGCGAGTGTAGGCCGCGTCGAGTCTCGCGTCACTCGAGCGGGTAATTGAATTTGAGGAGCGGAAGCGAAGAAATCCGGGCCCCTTCGTATTAACCTAACCTAATCGAGTTCGGGAGGGTCGCGCGGCGATGACAATAGAGACATTAAATTGTCAGTACGGATTTATTAAAGGCCGGAGATGCTGGCCGAGGGCGCCGCGCGACGTCCTCCGGTCTTCTTCTTCGGCGCGGCGGCCATCTTGAAAAGAACGTCGCGCCGAAAGGAACTCCGACTGGGCCGTTTCTTTTTGGAAATAGAGGTTGAAATCGTCACCCGGAATGCCCTCCAGGTTGGACGAGACCTTACAGGGGCATCAGGGTCCTCGAGATTCGCCGAATAACCAGTTGGTGGCGATTGGATTAACATAAACGTTCCGGGAAAGCGATTCCGAGCGATCGCCCCGAGGCGTCGCACCGTATCGAATTCTTCGGCCTCGAGTAATTCGGGTAATTAACGCGCCGTTTAAGGCGTCGATCGGTATCCCAGGCCGAGTTAACTTGAATTAACTTGAGTGAGACGTTTGAGGGAAACTGACCTCCTCCAATATGGCCGCCGTTCGCGTCCAGAAAGTGACACTCGCGTCCGGAGATCCAGGGCGTTCCCACCTTTCTGCGTTTCCTTTTAACGGACGGGTTAACGAATGCGCGGCTCCCTAGCCGAGATAAAGGATCGCTGATAAAGTGTCGAGCAGGATGAGGGAAGCGTCCTGGCCGATAAAGTCGGATGGCTTGTCAATCTTCCTGTTTGACGAGATGATACTTCCTGCTGGCAGGATTCAACCGGCTGTCAATTTCTCGATGGCTCGCCTCGCCATTGCTGATTTCCCACGCGTAGAGCGCGAGATCTGAGTAGGGCACCGATATGAAAAACTTGAAATACCGGTGCGTGCGATCGGCAGACAAGATCTAGAAGTCGGGTCCATTTCGCTCGTTGCTTGGATGATGGCAGATGTCGTCTGCAATTAGATCCTGGAGATCGGGCGGCAGATACCAGGGATGATTCCCTTGCTAAAAGGATCTTTCGGATATCCAAAATTCCCCTAATAAGCCGACTCATAGACTCCCAACTGATATGGTTCGATATCAGTGGTCTTTCCTTAATCAATTGTCGTTTCCAGTCCTTGCGATCGGGTCCCCTCGTTGCTTCGGTTTATTTACTGATCCTCCCAGATGGAATTTTTTCTCGCAGAGTAGTTGCAGTCTCTCAATCCCCTTCCCTCTCTGAGCACCGTAGGATTGCTCCCAAGCATCCAGCAACAGGTTGTAGTACCTGGGCACCTCGAAGTACCTCAGGTAGGGGGAAGTCTCCGAAGTCGGGAAGATCCTCTCGAACCTCCCAGCGCGCCTAATTTCGTCTTCGTAACGGATTAGAACCCTGACATCATCTGGCGTAAGATCTTCGAGAATCCTCCCGAGATAATCCTCTCTAGTGCTGGTCGTAAACCTCTTCTGTTTCTCCATCTCGGCCCTAGACAAATCGGCGTCGTAGAGTCTCTGGTCATGACAAATGGGGCCGTGTCCAAGGTGCTTAACGACGACGCCATCGTCCGAGATTTTTGGGAGGTGGAACCCGACCAGGTTCAGGAAGTCCTTGGCCAGTTGGCCCTTGACCAAGGAGCACAGAGGAGTGTCCGGGTCCATGGATGGGTAGTTGTTCACCTCCAGAAGCCAAGGCTTGAATTCCTGATTCAGGATAACGTCGAACCCGAACAGCTGATAAGAGTTAAATGCCGATGGCAAGGTGCTCCTTGCTGCGCGGACCATGGGATCTTCGGCAGCGATGACGGTCTTGATCGCGATGTCCTTTATCTTCTCCCATATCTTGGAGACGTCGACTTGCTCCCTGATCCCCAGGTACCACCACAAGCCTTCCAAGGACCACATGCTCCCTCTGCAAGGATCTCCATTGTTGCTCCTGAATCTAGGACTAGTCTTGTTCACGCTGGTGTTCGTCAGGTGCATGTAGCGGTCGAACAAGAAACTGGCGTCGTCCACGTACTTGGAGGTGGCGAATCTCACCAGACCCTCCGGGTACAGATACAGCTGGAGAGGATCCAGGGTCGTCATCAGGACGTAGAGTCTGAGGTCGAACTTTAACCCGTTGATCAGCCTCGGCTTGGTAAGATATTCCTGGGCAACCAAGGAACGGTTCTTCGGAACTTCGTTCCAGCGAGTCACCACATTGATCCCCTGACCAGCGCAGGATGCCGGGGGCTTTGTTATCCACGCTCCTCCATATTTCTGCAGGACTCTTCTAAACCTGACCTCCTCATACGGGAGGACGAAGGTCAACGGAACGAAGTCGAACCTCCTCCTGCCGAATTTGACCATCATTTTGTGGTAGTTCTGCCAGAGCTGCGCTTTGTTCCCGAGGTGGCTCGCTCCTGGGAAGTGGTTCGTCCTCTGGAACGGCTTCAGCTCCTTCATCTGTCGAGCTGGCAAAGTGGCTCCCCATCTTCCGCTCCAGTTATCCGTGGCCTTCCTCGTCATCGTGTAGCCTGTCTTCAGGATGGTCTTCTTGATCATCTGGGCCGAGGTCCTCCCACTGGTCCACCAGATCAGGTGTCTTCTGATCGCCTCTGGAAGCCTCGTGCTCTCGTCGTCGTGGTCCTGGAAAATTATGCATGGAGGGACGTGGGGGAAGAGACTCCTCTTCATCGAAAGTTTCCGGATCTCGTCGCCTCCTGCGTTTGACTCTATTTCATGTCCCTGACATATCAGCAATCTTTCCGTGCACTGGATGTATCGGTACATCTCGTCATCTGCTGGACCCATTGTGGTTAGCAGACCTCCACTGGTATCGGTGGAGGCTTCCTTGGTTTTTTCGTGGACTCGCATGATTGTCATGGATTGTTGCCGAGGTGGCACTTGTTCCGAGATATTTACAGGGAATTTTGGATGGAATTAGTCACCGAGAAGGAGGAAGTGTCCATGTCGGACATGGTGACATGGACTCTGTGAAGTTGGTCGCAGGAAAGCCTAGTTGGGATTGCAGAGCCGAAACTTGACCTCGAATGTTCCTACCCTGGAATGAAAATTCATCTACGGGTATCGGGGTTCAAAGATACCCGGTGTTCATGAAAAATTACTTTATTAAACCCGGGAAGTATCGGTGCGATAAGATCCGTTCGATCGAACTGTTAAAAGGCACAGAGCGAGGACCGACCTTCCCTCTAAACATGGCGCGATACACATTCGCAAGTCGCGTTTCAAGTTGTATTTTAGGCTTAAAGACCTGCTTATTAAAAGTACCTAACACATACACTAGGGCCGACCCTCCTTTACAGAATGCCGAGGAAGGTGTCGGCCCTTTGAGACACTTTTGGACTTAAATTTCATATAAAATACGCCGACTATAAACGGACGCGGTCCACTTCCGGAGAACCGCATCCCTCGAGGGCGGCTAAAAAACCTCGAAATATTTATCCTACTTATTTCGGACGAACACAAAGGACGATAATAAGCTCCCGAATGAGCTGACGAGGTCCCAGGCGCAATCGCGTATACCGCCGTGGGATTTGTACAAGTACTCGTAAATTCGACTAGGCTCCGATATCTAAAATTCTCGACAGCCTGAAGATGCCCCCCGTTGCGGCAAATATCAAGACGAGTGCTTAAAAGAGAAAATCCTTACGTAGAAAAAAGAAAAATCCTGCCCGTCGAAAGCCGACCATGAGATCCAAAACACGGGACCAGTTCGCAAAAGCAGGTCGCGACGCCGGAATGAAAATAGAAACTAAGCGTCGAATTGTATTTTTTATAAAAAAAGGAAATGGCCCAGCAAAGATGGCAGGCCAGTTCCTGACGAAGTTGCTCCAGGTCCCGCGTCTATCACACGGCAGATTTGTACATGTCTTTTTTAAATCGAGTATCAGAGGCCTTCTGGCAGTCCCCCGAAGAGGGTTCCCGAAGGAGACTTCAATAAACCACCTGCTGCTCCAAGTGGTACTTCATTTTGCAGAGCTGCCGAAGACGAGCGATTCCTTCGACCCTGTCAGGGGCATACTTCTCCTCCCAGGCGTCGAACAGCATGTTGTAGTACCTAGGAGCCTCGAAGAACTGAAAGTACCTATGACTGGAGCAAGTAGGGAAGATCCTCTCGAACCTGTCCAGCTGGGTGAGCTCGTCTTCATAGACGACAAGATGACGAACGTCGTCAGGGGTGAGGTCCTCGATGATGTCGTCCAAGTAATCGCTCCGGCACTTGGCGTTGGCATAAAGAGACTGTTTGTGTTTCTCCTGGTAACTAAGAGAAGTCCTGTAAAGTCTGACGTCGTGGCAGACAGGGTCGACCTGGTACCGCTTGCCGATTTTCGCGGCTTCCGAGGAGCTGACGTTGGGAGGGATCTGGTAGCCGACCATGTTGAAGACGTTCCTGATGAGCGGTCCCTTGACTGCCTCGTCCAGGGGCGAGGAAGACTGCAAGGATGGGGATATGTTGACCTCCAGGAGCCAGGGCTTCAGGTTCTCGTCCAGCAGGATGTCCACCCCGAAGAGCTCGAAGCAGCTGTACCTGGTCGTGGTGTTGGCCCTGGTCAGGGCGTTGATGGACGACTCTCCTGCTATCATGGTCTTCACCACGATATCCTTCATGGATGCCCAGAGCTTCGACACGTTGACGTGCTCCTTCTCTAGGTACGACCAGAGGGTCTTGATGGTCCATTTGTGGCCTCTACAAGAATCCGCGCAGTCGTTGCTCGTGTAGCTCGCGCTGGTCTTGTTCACGCTGTAGTTGGTCAGGTGCATGAATCTGTCGTTGAGGTAATTGATATCGTCGACGTACTTTACGGAGGCGAACCTGACCAGGCCATCCGGATAGAGGTAGATCCTCAGAGGATTGAAGCTCGTCACCAGGACGTACAGTCTCAGGTCGAATTTGGCGCCTCCTATCAGTCTCGGCCTGAAAAGACGTATAAAAAGCATATCTAGAGCTACCCAAGAAGAAGTGAAACCCTCAAATTTGGTCGAGCAAAGGTACGAACCTAGATAGATATTGCTGGACGATTAGAGGTCTCTTCTTTGGTATCTGGGACCACCTGTGGACCACTCTGATACCGGTGCCTCTTGCGGATGCTGGAGGCTTGATGATCCACTTTTCCTTGCCTGCGCATTTCTCCCACACCTGGCGGAAGAATTTCATATCCTGGGGGAGAATGTACGTCCTGGGGATAAAGCCGAACTCCTTCTTCCCGTATCTCGCCATCATGCGACTCAGGTTCCTCCACAGTCTGTCCTTCCTGCCGATCTGGAAGCTGCCTGGGAAGTGGTTGATCTTCTGGGACTCTTTCAGAGTCTTGAAGCAAATGGACTTCATGTGCTTCCCCCAGATCCCAGTCCACTCCGGGGACTTCTTCATCAGGCGGAATCCGGAATTAACCAGGGTTTTCCTCACCAGCAAAGGGGTGATGGTGCTCAGGCGCCATTTCAGATGTTTAGCTACATCGTGAGGTACGACCAAAGGTTTCCCGTCGAATAGCTGAAACGCCACGTAGGGGGGCACGTTTTCGAACAGGCTTTTGCGCAGAGGGAACTTGATCTTTTTTTCCTGGATCAGGATCTCGCGATCGAGCTTCGATCTCGGTTCCTCGATGTAGGGCTCGATCTCTTCTCGCTCCTCGTCGTATTGCGAATCGAGGTCGGTCTCATCGAGACTTCCCGAGATCCGAACCATCTCGTGGTGGCTGTAGGCGATGACATCCATCTTGGACCTCCTGGAACCATGGATCGAGTTTTCGAAAGACCCGGGCCAGCCCTTCGGGAAGCTGGAATCACGCATGATCGAAGAACGATCTTCTCGCTCCTGAATCTCCTCGACTCGGACCATGATCAGATCTCGAGGTTGGATTAGAAACGTCAAAGTATGACTAAAAAAATCTCCTTCACGACGAGGTTCAGAGCGATCGTCGTTCGATCCTACGTAATCATCAGTGATCGTATAAAGCATGTCCGTGAAAATTGGGAATATCCATGCAAGTGATCGAACGATCTTCTATCTACCTATCACTATGCCCGACAGCGACTCAGCATCCTCCCAGAGGCTCGCAGATAACTGAAACAGACGACGAGAAATGACTTTACGACTAGAAACTCCAGTTCTATCAAGACTATTCTACTAGTCCAGAGGCACTGAATTGGGGCAGTCATGGGAAGGAATTTTAAAACGTCGATTAAGCGATAACACGAGGCGATATCAGGACCATTCGCTCCCTCTGATGAGGCGAGGATCTTATCTCACGCAATGAAATGCGATTGGTCAAGATGTTTGCTTTTTCATGGAAACCAAAAGAGATCGTTCTTATGTGAGCTGCTTCTGGGAACGATCAATGTGACGTATGTCTCATAAAAACCCACTTTTTAATCATAGAGGTTCAATGGACGAATCATTGAAATTTGGATAAACAAGAAATTGCCCCAAAAAAAAAAGAAAGAAAGAATTATTTCAAGGGGTTTTAAATTATATCGAGATTAATTAAAGGATTCATTGATCATGCGAGAAATGGATGGTCTATTTGCTGCACAAGAAGTATGATTTGTGGTAACTGGCAATTACCCTTTTTCGATATCTCGTTATCGATGTTGTTTCAGGCCAGGTTGTTTAGACGTTTCTTTGAGATTCCATACGGTAATTTTCGATTTAATTTCTTGGTTATTAAACGTTTATCGCGACTACCGTTAATAATTACAGATGTAATTATAATAATTACTGATGTTATATATTCCAAAGGGACGTTATTGCCGAGATAACGTCGCAAACGGACATTTAAACCGGACTCATTTCCGAATAACGTGAATCTGGAATTCCCTTGAAAATTAAAGACAAAATGAAGAATAATTAATAAAATCGAAAGAGAGTAATTGAAGGAGGACGGGGGGTAGGTGAAATAAATAACGTACATAACGCAAAAAACATGACAAATCAAATCGTCTACAAATCTGGGATTTATTAAAATTCGCACTAGAGTGCCACCTCCCATCTCGACTTCGTTAACAAAAGCGCTATGGCTAAAGAAACTGTTCTTAAACATAACAAATTAACGGCTCTATATAACTATTGCATTACGAGCAGAAAAGAAAAGAAAAAACAAAATAGTCATATCTCAGGTACGGAAACCCTTATCACAGACGTCACGTTAAAGCTTCACCACCAGTGAGTGTCCTTAAAATCGGGGGATTAATCCCCCTAGGAAGAGCCAAGAGACACAAGTTAAAAGACACGCGAGAGTCAATTCATCCCGGATCAGGCACCCCTTCGGATGCTCATAAGGGAAGTCCCCGAAAAGTCAACGAGTATCAAAGTCCTGGGCCAAGTCAGGATCACGGTCGTCGTCCTTCTCCCCATCGTTGAGCAGTCGAACCATCGGGAGGACATCCTCCACCCCGGAATCCCGGGTCCCATGATTCCAGGCAACGGGGACGTCCATCATCCCCAAATCCCCAAGCAGGATCAACCGGGATCATCAAGGACCCCCGGCACTCCAGGATTGCGGAGTGCCTGCCACAGGCGATCCAGGATCCTAATCCCTAGACACGGGATCATCACCAGGAACCCACCAGTCAAGTCCTAGAGTGTGTTCCGCCACACGTCATCATCGGAGTCTTCGTCGGAACGATCCATCCTCTTCGGATTTAGGATTTCTCCAGAGGTCCTGGAAGACAGGATCACCACGGGCGCCAGACAGGAGTGGAGGATTCCGAGGACTCCCCGGAAGAGCTGGCCACGCTCATGGGGCTCTGTGGGGGGGTGTACACGTGTTGGGGGACCAGGGTGGCACGTCCGGATCCTTGGGAATTCCCAGGAGCAGCGGTGACGTTTGGTCCCTCCAGTCTTCTGAGGCATCCTCCTAGGTGTCTCATCAGCTGAGCTCCGGCAGCAGGATGAACGGCGGAAGCGACAGGAGTGGACAGAAACGTGGACACTTCCTGGGCGCACTGGGTGAATCCTTCTCTGAACCGGTCGGCGTAGCTGGACTCTGGAGTCAAAGTCAACCTGCGAGCAGCTCTCAGGGTGTGAAGATGTCGAACCGTCAGCTCCAGGATGTCGGCCTTCTCCAGCTTGGCGACGTTCTCGCCCTCCGCCTGGAGAGCCGTCACCATGAGGTCCTTCAGCTCGTCCAGGCACCTGTTGATCCTGGCGCGGCGTTTCCGCTCCAGCATGGGCTTCATCACCTTGCGGTACTGGTAGGTCCTAGAGACCGGCTCCTCGTACTCCATCCCGGCGACCGCGTGGTAGCTGGTGGTGTGTGGGGTCATTCTAACCAGAGATCCCTCGAACCGACGAACGTCCTGGCACTGTGCAACCACTGGGTCTTGCTTCCCAACTAGACCTTAACCTGGCCTTAACTTCGCCTTAACTCCGTCTTAACTTCTTTACTGCCTATCAGGACACTCCTAGAGTCTTTTGGAAGTTCCGTCACCACCCTGGGGCAAGAATTGCGTGTGCGACGCTTAAGCCTCGGAGTGCCGAGCTGATCTGTCCGCACTCCTCCGCTGGAGGGGAATATATAGCCGCAGCGAGTTCCACAGTGTGTGTGCGTTTGTGGAGGTTCCGCGACCACGGTTAGGACGTCCCCCACTCCCAGGACTCCCATCAGCCGGGTGCGGAGTGGTGGACGCGCCGGCACACTCCAAACCGCACACAGAGGCCAAACCGCACACATATATCCCAAACCACACACACCAGGGTTCTAACCGACACGAGTCCCCCTGCTGCCCATGGTGCCAGGAGAGGGAATCCCGCACACAGCCAACCACCGGGCGCAGCGTATCGTGGGAAGCTCGACGCCCGATGCGTTCCCACAGCCTGGAGCAACCGGCAGGGGACGAGCAGGGGAATTTCGAGCAACACACCTGCACACAGACCTCTCTTTCTCTATCTGTGCCCGTGAAAGGGTGACGTCGGGCCTAGGAGCCCCGGTAAGGACGCCACCAGCACACGCCGCGACGCGCGACCAGCACGAGGACGACGCCGCGACGCACGCGAGCGCCTCGCGTCCATCAAACGCCTAGTTTCTTTCGGACCCATTATATCCATTAAACCGAGCATGCGCCGGTGCGTGCGCTAGATGTGCCAGCTGATAACCCGGCACTTGCTGCCCTCCTAATCAGGACACCGGACATTTTCACGGTGCTCCAGCTAGGATCGATTGGAGACGATTGTCATATTCCTATGGGCCCTTTTAGATCACCCCATGGATCTATGAAGTCCTCATCAGGGTACCTTGGAAAGGTGTAAATAGCTCTAGGTACTTCTCTGGAGAGATTCTTCCATATGGGGATTTTTGGATGTATCCCCTGACCGGAACTGCGCATCAGCGAGTCCCGGAGGAAACTCCCAGAAGATGAGTCGGACATGCGAGGTGAAACCGTCAATTTAGGGGTCAACTGGTCGCTCGATAAGTTAATGCGGATTCTTGGAAGCTCGATTCCTCGCTGGGAGGTTTTTCGGCGACTGAGGTCGGTGGGGTTGGGTGGGAAAAATTGTATAATTATATGATCTCGAGATCGATGCACTTGGAGGTGTTTGTCGCTGGGAGATGTTGACTTGGGGATGGTGGAGGGTCTGTCTCGAGTTGATCGGGGGTTGATAAATATTGATTATGGACACGTGCATGGGTGTCGGGGATTTTGTCACTCGTGGTTCGTTAGGTTTAAAGGTCTGTTGGAATGATACGTCACGGCGGGGCTGTACTGCTTGCCCTGCGCGTTAATTATACCGATTGGTCGACAGAACCGGAGGTGGACCAATAAAACCCAGTCCCATCCATCCAAAGTGTTCATCCGGTGTCATCTGCCGCCCATATCTCGTTGGTGGACGTGGAGCGACGGCGAAAGCCCGATGGCCGGGAAGAGGTACCTCCCTAATAGTTTCTTTGGTAACGAGCATTTCCTCTGGGAGCCATTCAACGCTCCTTGGCAGATTCTCAAGAGACACCTCCAGAAGTGAAACGCTGACGGGAACAAAAGCTCGGCCCGAATTAGAGAGGAGAAAGGTCCAGCTCGGAAGCCCGGTACGCTCCAGCTCTCTCGGATTATTCATCTCAGGACCCTCGGCAGCATCTTCCGCTCCACTTTGCGAGATCTAGAAACCCAGAGGCGCCGATGCTAATTCCTAAAATCCGAGCCGTGCCAAAATCCTCCCTCCCAATTCCAAAACGACTGGACCACTCTACGAATTGATCCTAAAAAAAGGACCCGAATGCCTCGGCAAGTTTTCACGATTCTCCACCAAACCTTAAGGTGACAAGTGCAGAGGCGTCGTTTATGAAACTTTTCTCCGAACTGTAATGTACTTGGCGCGAAACACTGCGGAATTCTCTCTATAAGAAGGAAATTTAATTTTAACCATTTTCGTCATTACCAAAAAAAAAAAAGAAAACGGTATATATGCCGAATTTTGCGGATCCGGTCTCAATGAAGGGCACATTTCGTAGCTTCCGAATTGTCCTAAGAATCGAAAGGGGGAGAAGGAGATGAAAGGAGATGAAAGGAGAGAAAAAGGCGTACAAAAAGACGGCGGGCATACACCCGATGCTAATTCGGAGCGTGCTGAGCCCACACCATGCGGTGCTCCCTTTCCCGAGAGGGATCGCGTGTCTCTCTCCTCCCTATTGACGCGCCAATGAGTCGGTCTCTCTCGCTCGTGCCGGCAACAGGTAGAGCCCCGAGTATAGTCTTCCTCTACTCGCAATCAGGCTCCAGGCCGGGTGCCTCGCCTCCGAAATTCCTCGGGTGTACTCGTTGGCTCGTGCTACCAAACGTGGGAATATTCTCAGGCCTCCAGTCCATCCTACGAGGTCGTGCATACACGCCTCCACCTTGCGTGTATGCGTTTACGGAGGTGGACTGCTCGTATTGTGCCCTCTCGAGCGTGCAAGCCAGAGACGAAGAGAGGGTCTCGGAGGAGAGGAAGCGAGAAGGCTTTCGTAGGTAATGCAACCTTACCGACACCGACGTACTGCCAGGCCGCGTGCTGAACACACAATGGCGCTGCATTGTGCGTAGCACGGGCCACATTGTGGCCAGAATCCTGCCCGACCAGCCCTCCGGCCTTTTACGCGCGTTTTTACGCAGCCCGACCTCGAGGACACTCGGACATGGCTTCTGGACTCCGCGGAATGGCCCCTAAATGGCACCTCGCCATCCTAACCCGTTCCCCGACAAGAGAGGAACTGGTGACAACGTCCACCCAAGAGGCGATCCACGTGGAAATGATTTTCCTCGATTTCCTTCTTTCAGAACCGTTTACCTTTGATCAATCAGGTGGCCTTAAAATCCTGGCAAAGGTGATTTCCAACGATTTGCGGTGAATAATAAAAATGAGTTAAAATTAAAATCCGGGATCTCCTGAGGGAATTCCCCTTTGGGCCTGAGCCGAAGATGTCCCTTTTTAGGGTAGGACGGTTACTGGCAATGTTTCATGGTTCGTCGATGTATGTTTAGTATCTGGTTTTAAAATTGGACCGACTAGGGTGTGTTGATCACTGTTGAAAAAGGGATCCTCGTGTTTGGGGTGTTCGCTTCCAGGGAGGGTCGAGGTCTTCGTGTTTTCGCTCAATTTAGTGTCCCCTCTCGTGTGTCGGCATGGGAGGACCATGGGGCGCGACATGGTGGTCCAGAGGCCACATCCCAGGATCCTCTGTCAATTGAGTTAAAAGCGAGGGAAAAAGGAGCGGGATTCTCCAATTAACGTGGGGCTCCGACCACTTATGGGGCACATTCGTGCCTCCTCGGATGCTGGGCGCGACGTCTCCCTGCTCTCTCCCCATCCCGGCTGGACCTCATCTTTCAGCCGGCGATGGTTAACGACCCATCATCCCCCCAGCTCCTGTCAAAGGGATCTTCGGAACCTAGGTTCGCCAGTTTTAGGACAAACACGTGTCTTCTCATTCCTCCTAAACCCAAAAACCAACCCCAGGAGCTGGACCGAGTACCCAGCATCCCAAATCTTTGAAGGGCCCAAAATTCGATTCCATCCCGGGGGCTCTACCAGGAATGGCGTCTCTTCTGTATCGATGTATATACATTTGGCACGTAGGAACATATTCCTAGGCGTGATAAAATAAGACCAGGTCGGATCCTAATGAAAGTCCCTAGTGGTGGGCTCCACGAGGGTGCGTATGGGCCCACGCGTGTGGGGGGTGAATGCGGCCCAATGGGGCCCAAACGAGGCCCATTGGCAGCGGGTCCATACACCGACGCCCACCAGAATGGGCCAATCTGCAGGGTAGCCTGACACACTTGCTGGGCTTTGGCTTAGGGTGGCCCAGAAGGAGCTGCGGGAAGATTCCGCCCGGAGCGTTCCCACGGCGAGGCACCACCTGTGCTCGGCTCACCCTCTGCGGCCATCTTTACCTCGATATCCCCCTTGCGTCCACGGAGGGGCTCCATATAGGATGAAGGGACCCCGAGGGATCCTTAACGGCGGGAGGGTGTTAAAAGATTCGAGGCTAAGCGCTGCTGACAGAAGGCCCACAAAAGGGGACCCATAGACCGAGTGGAGGGATGCGATCTTATGGTTCCCCCTAGATGGGTGCAAACAGCGATTCACGTATGCTCGAATCCGGGATTTCGCGATACCGGATTGTCGATCATTTTGTTGTGAATAATTTGGAACCTTAACACGTGATTACGGAGGTCCTGATGAAGATCCAGAAACTCAGGAAATTTGATCTTTTGACAAAAATTTCTTCTTTGCTTCTTGTCCGGGATAAATACATTTTTTTTAATCGCGAGAAATGAAATTTCGCGAGTTTCAAGATTTTCGTTAGATCCTGCATAATCAGGTGTTAATGTTTCAAATTATTCGGTGCACCCGGTTAGGAAAGGCGTTATAAATATTTTGACTTTTGGGTATTAATAAATGACACTTTCATAACACCTTAAACTAAGATTCTATTTTTTAGGTGTGATGGCACTTAACTGGACCAATTACACTCGAAAATCGTTAAAAAAATCGTGGAATATAATTTTTATGTTATGCAGTGTTAACATTGCACATGATTAATGGAAATGGTAGAATATTAGGTTTAGGCATCTCCTAGTAGAAGTTGGTCGAGCGAATTCGCGACTTTGCCCGAGCGAGTCTTATTGTAGGATGAGGCTTTGTGCAGTGCAGCGGACAAAGCCCCACGTGAATGCGTCCACACGAAAATACCCACACACAGGAGGAAGCACAAGAGACGAATGCAGCGTGCCAGGCAGGAGCCAGAAGTGTGCTGCTCGTGTGCTGCTCGTGTGGGATTGCTTAACGCCTGGGTGACTACTTGTTAGCCTTAAAAGGCTCCCTTCGGGTCCGGTTCCCTCCTGGGCAGTTCCTGGTTTTTCAGGATGACTTGAAGTATTTCACGAGGAACCAGAAAACCCAGGGCCCCACGGGGATCGGGACACCCAACGGAAGTCAGGACGCCGGGTGGAGGGTCCTTCCCGAATCAGCAACAACCCT